CAAGTGTGTTTGCTTTGGTCCATGCTTCAATTTTTTCTTCAATATGACAAAATTCCCACTTGTATATATATATAAATATTCTCACTCGAGTTACAAGCTTACGCAACCAAGTTCGGCGCCTTGGAAAGTATTACGCAAACATGCCCGCTGCTGCTAAACAATTGGACAAGTCTCTGGCTGATTACTTAGCTAAAATGCCTCAAAATGTACTTGATGAGATATGACTAGTTGTCAACTTATCCCTACATGAATAGAGTTATATACTACTAAGCCGTTGTTGTTGCCTTTACTTGCATGCTATATAACACCATTTTTAATCTCTCACTAAATCTTGCTTTCAAACTCTCTTTCGAAAATCTCTCTGCCCCGTTTTCTAAAATTTTCATTCGGGGTCAGAGGCTCGAGCATATGTTGCCTGACCATATGTGTGTATATATATATCATGAAGATTTGCCCCAGTATATGCGTTATCTCGACTAATTTCATTAGACAATTGTTCGACTCTACTACACATAGTTGCAAGAAACACGTAAGATATAAAATTTTAGGTAGGCATTGATCATGAACTCAACTGTTTAAGATAATATTTTTTTTAAAAAAATGAATTTTATCGTTTTTTGGGTCCCACATTTTTCTTGTTTTTTTTTTTTTTAAGTTGTAATTATGTATGTGTTCGAGCGTTATCCATTTACTCTCGAAAAGGATGGACAACACGACGATGTGTTCCTACTCTGAATTGAGAGTTTCTCCAATCTTCATATACGCATATTTTTATTAATGATTAGTAGTTAAAAGAAAATAATTGAGCACTTTAAAATATTTCCACAAAAAGAAACACGTAACTATCATAAAGTTATGCCCTTTTTATCACAACAAGAGATGTACAAACTTCTAGAGATCTCAATTCAATGGCCGAATGTGACATTTTGAACCTATAAATGATAATAAGATAAGATGGGTATTAAAAAAATAGTTACCATTAAGAATATGCTAAAACACCCTCAAATAATAATAATAATAATAATAATAATAATAATAATAATAAAACCGAACAAAAAAACGTCAAATTAAATTTAATTAAAATCGGTTTTTGAGATATTTTAAAATATTTTATAACTTAAATGCTTTGTGATCTTTAAAGTTGGCTTTTTAGAGTGGGAGAAAGCCTAGTGGGAATAGGGCTAAGAAGGAGCAAAAAGTAATGTTTTTTTTTTTTTTGAAATTAGGAATTTCCGTTTGAATAATATTTTGTGATGTCCCACGTTGGTTCGGGAGGAGAACAAAACACTTTTTATAAGGGTGTGGAACCTTCCTCTAGCAGACACATTTTAAAGTCTTGAGGGGAAGCTCGAAAGGGAAAACCCAGATAAGACAATATCTGCTAATAGTGGATCTGGGGCGTTACAAATGGTATCAAAGCGAGACACCGGACTATATGCCAGCGAGGAGGGAAAGTCCAAAGAGGACAATATTTGCTAGCGGTGGATCAAGGGCGTTACAAATGGTATTAGAGCCAGACACCGGACTATGTGCCAGTGAGGAGGCTCTTCTCCAAAGTGGGTAGACACAAGACGGTGTATCCTAAAGGGGTTGGATTGTGATGTCGCACATTGGTTCGGGAGGAGAACAAAACACTCTTATAAAGGTGTGAAGAATAAAACAGCCGTATAAGGGTGTAGAAACTTTCTCCTAGCAGTCGTTTTAAAGCCTTGAGGGGAAGCCCAAAGAGGACAATATCCACCGACCGTGGATTTGGGTCGTTACAAATATTGTAAAATAAAATGAGAAATTATTATTTTATTTTATTTTATTTTATTTTTAGTGGATGTGAGTTATGCTATGGGCATGCCCATGCCATCACCATCCAAATAAGCATTTTTTTTTTCTTTTTAATTAATTAATTATTTATTTATTAAAAATAAATTTGAATTCAAAGGGGCAATAAGAATCATGGCTTTTTGTGTCTGAAGAGTTCCATTTAAATTTTTCCAGACACGAGGGGTCAGCTTGGCTCCTAAGTGTCAATACTCTTAGCCACAAATTTTTAATTATTATTATTATTATTATTATAAAAAACGTCACGAATAATAATAATGTTTTTAAATAGTTCTTCTCGAAAACGATTTGAAAAACTTTCGTGTTTTCTAGAATCTATAAATCTAGCGTTTCTGTTCGATTTTGCCTTTACTTATAATAAAAATAATAGAATAAAACTATTAAAAAATATAGATTTTTTCGTCGTGTAAATAATAAATAATATGTATCGATTATATATAATTTTTATAGACTATAATAAGCGTTTAAATTCAAAATAATTTAAATATGTGTATATTATTTATATTTTATCTATTTTAAAAAATATATAATGTCATTATAATTTGTAATAATTTTTATTGGTTAGATTCGATAGCGTCACAACTCAAGTTAAATTTTTTCGAAAATTCGAAAATTTGGTTCGATTTGTGGGTTGACAATTCTTTTAGTCAGATTAACTTGACCGACCCGAAACTAAAGTTGTAATTCAACCTAACTCTATTTTTAAAAAAATTAAGCATATTTAACGTTTGTAGCTGATGTTAGTGATACATTCTGACTTGTAAATGTTTAATATTTGAATTTTATGAGATTTTAGTATAAAAAAATTTAATGTTTAAAGAACCCGAAAATAAATAGTTGAATTGAGTTGAGTTGTGAACTATATTTGAATTGCTCGGGTCACCAATCCGACCAACTCAAAATTTTAAATTTGTTTAAAAGATTTTAACAATTATGCTCGTGTTGATTGGGGATTACTCATGGGTAACAAAAGGGAAAAGTGAAAATATAATAATAATAATGATTGGATCAATAATTGAGTTTTTATTGGTTTTTTTTTTTATAAATTTTAAAAAGCTTTTGATTTTTTTAAAAATCTATGCATATTATAATAAACGAACCCGACGTCTCGAATTTAAAACAAAAGCTTTTATCGATGATATGTCGAGGTACAAAATTTGAAATTCTGATCTTTAGTTTAAACCGGTTTAGATAAATTTTAGTTTTTTAATGTGTGAGATCCCACCTTGGTGGCTGAGGGGAACAAAATATTACTGACAAGGGTGTGAAAACCTTTCTCTAACAGACGTAAAATCCTGAGCGGAAGCCCAAAATAGAAAGTCGAGATAGTACGGTATCTGTTAGTAGTGAGTTTGAGCGGTTACAAATGGTACAATATTCCACTCTAATATTTTTTTTAAAATAATGCAATAAAATACATATTCTTTTTTTTTTCAAAGGTTAAAAATTTCGATAATGATAGATGTGACACATCTATATAATATAAAGTATAAACCAAGCTTTTGGGACACAAATTGCATTAAATCATATGAAAGTTTATTTATTAAATAATAATAATAATAATAAAGAAATAAAATAGAATATGATTCAAAGGTATTAATTCCAAACTAGAAAAGATAGTTCGACACATAATGTTGAATGGATAAAGTTATTCTCGTTTACTTTTACCCTCCGAATCATTGCATCAAAAATTATAGCGTATAATTCTTTACTGTCTTTTCTATAGTTATTTTTTAACCTTTCCCGTTAATTTTTTATAGAAACCGTTAATACTTTATTTCAAAAAATACAATTTTAATGTTTAAAACGGTTTAAAAAATTAAAACAAAATAAATAAATTAACTATGAAATATATCTAAACATAATTAAAAAAAAAAATCTAAATGTAACTAAAAAATAAAAATAAAACGCCATAAAAATAATTTAATTTTACCACTTTAACGTTAATCATTAACTATACATTATACAACTCATCAAACAATTAATGTGTTCAATTCTTTGCAGAATTAAAACATTATATATATATATAAAATTTATTAATTAAAATTTATTTAAAGTTGATTCCATTTAAAATTAACCAGAAATCATCTAAGAAAAAAATAAATAAAACTTAATTATTTATTTAATCTTATTTTTATCGCTAATTTAAATTTATTGTAATTAAAATTGTAACGCCCGCTCATCGTCAACGCGATTAACAGGGGTTACCATCATCAACGACAATATATTCTAATACCCAATCATAATCTCAAAATGATAAAAAAAAAACATTCAGTAAAACATTTAAAACAATGCTATTTAAATTTAAACCAACCGAAGTAAATTCTTGACAGCGAAAACATAAATATACAAAACAGACACCGACATGGATTCCCAGTAGTCTTCAGTCCGCTGGTCTCGCCCTCGGTTGGCCTGCATCATCTAAATCTGGAAAGAAAAGTTATAATAATTTTGATGAGTAATTAGATTACTCAGTAAGTAGCTAGCTTATCACTCAAGAGTTCATAACTAATCTTTCCAGGTGTTTTTAGGTTTTATTCATCATTGACTCCTAGTTCTCTTACTAGGGTCATCTGTTCGTTAATGAGGTATCTCAGCTACCTCCAGCTAGGTTACTGACTCTCTCTCGATATGCTTATCTAGAATTTTCGGACTCGTATGTAAGACTCGCTCTCGGTCAAATACGGCCCGTCTACTAATTGCTCTGGCGGCCTGTTTATCTCATATACCAACGGTCAGGAGTACTCATGCTCCCTGACTTAGCACACAGCGCGTTGGCCAGGAACTCCGCGGGAATTAGTAGACTATCATACTCAGTAAATAAGCCATAGCTCAACCACCAATAAGCATATCTAGAGTCATAACCTTTCCATTAACATGCATAACATACTCACAGTTACTGCATGCTTTCATACATGTATCATGATCAATACGTAGACATTCTGACAATCGTTTATATCATGCTTACATCACAGGCAAACAGTTACAATATACAATAAACACGAACTATCATCGAAGCTCATCATAACTTATTAAGCTCTTAATCAGGTAAACAACATACTCACATGTTGTAAAACAAGTTAAGAACTAGTTCAAAGGTCGATACGCTACTTACCTGGTTTCGAATCCCTTTCTCTCTTAATTGTACATTTAATAGGGTATTTCGACACAATTCCTTCCAAGTAGACCTATATTTCACCATTTTCAAGGTAAGTATAGGTCAATCTAGGTAGAACAGGTCAAAACAAATCGAACGGGACAAACCGGGAACCGAACGGACGCTTCACGCGCCCTCACGCGCCCTCACGCGCCTCGGTGTGTCTGTCCCACGCGCCAGTCGCACGCCCAGTCGCGTCCCTCACGCGCCTGCGTGTAGTGCACGCGCTTCTTCTTCTTCCTTGCGTTTTTCTGAAATTTCCCATCTTTTCTGTTAATACCTACTATATCCCGAAGCAAAAATTTCATCTCTACAGCTCGAATTTCGTTCTGATTTCTTCTACAACTTTATAGATCTTCTAACTACGGTTCTAACCAGCCTTATTTCATAACTTATTATGCAGTATAACTCAAGATATCGAGATTTAAAGGTTCGGTGATGTGGGTTTTTTCGTTACCTTCGAATTATCGTCCGCTTCAGCTCGTGGCTGTATCCCCTTCCTCAGACGATTCCTCAGCAACAACCCCTCTTCCTTTACCCTCGATTGATGTCCAATTTTAAGCAACCAAAACTCGAATTCTCAGAAAGTTTCCTCCTCTGTTTTCTGGGTTTTTCACGAATCACCAATCTTCGTTTTTTTTTTTCTTCCTTTTTAAAGCTTAATCCATCCCACGCTTCCACCTCCTCTAATCATCCTCTCTTTTCTTTCTTTTCCCTTCAACCACCTGTCCATTCTTCCTTTCTCCATGGCAGCAGCTTCAAGCTGCTGCTGTTCTTTTTTTTTTTTTTTTTTTTTTTTAATTTAACTTATTTATTTATTTATTATTATTATTATTATTATTATTTATTTATTTATTTATTTATTATTTTCGGGTTATTACAAAAATAGACACGACACGTTCACGAAATTAAATATATTTATCAAAAAAACCAAAAGAAAATAGTCACATGATATTGATGAACTAATTTTGCTGTTTATGATATTTCAGTTTATATCAATTTTTGTGTTTTGTTTTATTTATATTCAATTTGAGTGTTTCATTCATTTATTTATTTATTTATTTTCTTTTTATCTTCTTTGTTTGTTTGTACTTCTTTTCCATAATTTCCAAAATTAATAATAATGATAAATGGTTTGAAAATGCCGTTTTAGTAATTATTCTCCCAATCTCATTCTTTTTTTTTTTTTTTTTAATTTAGTAAATTTATTCGGACTAATAAATTTATTGTTATTTTTTATGAGATCCCACGTACGAGAGGAGAACGAAACATTCTTTTTAAGGATGCAGAAACCTCTTCCTAACAGACATGTTTTAAAACTGTGAGGGTGACGACTATATGTAATGGACTAAAACGAACAATATCTGCTAGTGTTGGGCATTATTTTTTATTTATTTAAATATAAATATATATATCATTTATACCTAAATGTTGGAATGTGTCCTTTCACTTTGATTTTTATAGCTTTTTGTTGTTTTGTAGTTGTGAACTTCCCTTCCCTACCTTATTTATTATATAGACACCTATTGTCACGTTCTTCGTCTACCTTTACTCTTTCCTTACTTTTGTTCATACTATTCCTATTCTCGTCTTTTTCACGATAATAGCCGAGAAAATTTAAGGTTTACGAAAACAGTCTTCCCACCCGCTCGATTCGTATACTAGCCATATGTTCGAATTCGAAATCGACACATACATTAAGGAGAATTTAGCTTTAAAAATGTTGTCTTTTATCTCGATCATGAGATGAACTTATCTCGTGATTGAAGGTGAGATGCTTTAATCATATATTTCTTGTTCTTTTTTGGTAAAAACTTTTTTGATGTCATGTGAGTCACAAGATCATAAATGCATCCTCGAGTTCTTTCGTCTATCTTTTCTTTTCTTTCCCTTTTTGTCAGTGCAACGCTCGTTGTTTCTCGTATTGATTATACGATGAGATTCGCTTTGATTGATCGTAAAAAAGGAAACTGATCCGAAATAGACCTAAATTAAAATAATATAATTGAACAGAACGAATCATATTAATATAAATTTTATAAACGTACGTAAATATCAAATCTTAGAGTACGATAGGTGCCCTATTTTTCAAAGATCGGCCTTAAATATTTAGCCATCACAATCAAAATTCCCTAGCTCACTAGCCATTGTGTAAATTGTCCTACCAAATTTAATGAAATGTGAATCAAATAATGGTGTGAGCCAATTTGACGATGAGTTTGAGATTATTATCGTTATTTTGGGTTCGATCTGAAATTTGTGAGACTAACAGTGATACGTAATGGGCTAAAACGGACAATATTTGCTAGTGGTGGGTTGGGACGGTTACAAATTGTATCAGAGTCAGACACCGGGCAATCTGTCAGCATCTCAGCAAGGACGCTGACCCTCAAACGAAGTGGATTGTGAGATTCCACATTGGTTTGAGAGAGGAACGAAGTATTCTTTATAAGGGTGCAAAAACTTCTCTCTAGCAGACATGTTTTAAAATTATAGGACTGACGAAGATATGTAACAGGACAAAACAGACAATATCTGCTACCGATAAGCCTAAGCAGTTACAAGCAGCAGGATTGGGAACCAAGCTATGGATTTTAAAATAATACTTTAATAATTAACACGATTATATTAATTTTTGTAAGGTCATTTTAGTAATTAACACTCAATATATTAGTTTGTATTTTATTTTAAAAATTAAAATCAATATATTATTTATTAAACTATATGTATTTATTTATTTATTAAAAATCGAAGTCAGAGATGGTTGTTGATTTATTTAATTATATTTAATATTTAATTCATTTTTAATATCCTATTGGAGAGTCAAGCGACATGCTCCCTTTATTCAATATATAAAGTATAACATATTTTAATTTCATATTTATTATTTTTTAATTACATTCACATTATTTAATAGCATTTTAATATCACGTCACAAACTATTAATATTTTTTAATTGCAATTAACCTCATTTTTTTAAACTTTTATTATTATTATTTTAAAACTGAACTCTTATTTTATTTAGACTTTTATTTTATAATTCAAATTGAAATATTAAATTCTCAATTATTAATATAAAATATTATTTTCCTTAATTTTTTTATATTTTTGTGCTGCCAACTCCCATTATTTTAAATTAGAAAAATGTTTCACGTCAATTATTATTTTATTATCTATATATAATATATGAGATGAAAAAACCTGCCGTCGTTTATTTTGTTTTTAAAAATGATTTTTTTAATTTTTAATTTTTAATTTTTTTTTAGTTTTAAACACAATTTAATTTTAAGCAAATTTATTTATTTAAATAAATAAATAAAAGCATTTTTTTAAAATTAAATTAAATTATTATGAATTTATGACTTTTAGACTGAATGACCTTCCTATACCGCAGTCATTACTTTACTGACGATGGACTCTCCTGTGGGGCCCACACACATGTCATATTCTTAGTTAATCACCTCATTTATTTATAATAAATTTATTTTTTATATAAGAATTGCTGACGTCATTATTATTCCATTTTACTTGATAATCTTTGTCTTTTGATTATCATTAATTTATTTATTGAGAGAAAAATAAAATATTAATTCTCGATTTAAAATAAATTTATTAAATTTATTAAAAAAATTGAAACAGATATTTTTCATTAATTTATTATCTTAATATTATCATTATAGAAATTTTCTATAATAGACATTGTTTTAAATAAAAAATAATGGAAAAAAAATAGATAGCTATAAATCTATAAAAATAAAAAAAGAATATATAGAAAATAACTTCTAAATATTTTGCCTCGTTATTTGGAAAGTTCTTCCTCAATAATTAAATTATGTCTCTAGTCATTATTTAAAGACGAGATCGACCCGAGCTTAATTTCGCCAGTAAAATGCACGTTTAAAAGATTAAACTTACATCCCGGTAATTATATTAGTTTTTATTATATTTTATTAAATAAATAATTTATGTAATAATGTGTGAAGTTGGCAAAGTGCATGAGACGAACAGCACATGCATTAATCTTATAATATAACTTATAATTGAAGTAAAAATGAAAGATGAGAGAGGAAAAGGTACGAAAATATAATTGAGAGAGTAGGATCATAATTTCTTGAGATCTAAATAATAAAACGTTAAAAATATATTTAAAGTTATTTTTAAATTTATTTATGTCTCAGTTCATTTTAAATTTGAATCGTAATGTTAAATGTATCGATCCCTCAGTTAATTTTAGGATCATAATTTAAATTTTAATATATTCGAAGTTATTAATTTTGAATTTTTTATTGGGTTGATTATACGTGTAATTATTTAATTTTTTATCGTTCATTTTTTATTTAATTGATAAGACGACAAAAATATTAGGATCAAAATAGAAATTGAGTATAAAATTTTGAATTAAGTTATAATATTGACCATAAATATATATATATATATATTTTGTTAGATTGGTTCTAATGTCTGTAAAATATTTATTTATTTAATTTTAAATATTTTATTAAGATTGACAACCTAATTTCAATATATATTTAAAAAATTGACTTCTAAATAATTAAAAAATTATTCTTAACAGAAGAATAAATAATAAAAAGATAATTATAAAATTAAATAAAGATATGTATATATATAATTGTATGGTAAGAAAAAACGTATATTTTAAAATTAATAATAAATTTAGGTCAGTTCAATCTAATCTAGTTTTTGAAAAACCATGAATCAACACCGTTTTTATCGTTTTCGTTTATTTAAACTCAACCTAATTCGAACAAATTCGTAACTCAACCTAATAAGTATGATTTAAGTTGGTTTGATTTAATTTTCAAGTTTTCAGATTTTTCGAACACTTGGTGTAACCGTGAGTCAACTTTTCATTTCGATGCAGTTAACAATTAGGACTGAATTGGTACAAACAAAAAGATTATATGAAATTACAATTTAATCCTTACAATTTATTTTAATCATACCATATAGAAAACGACCCGATCAACATTTTAGTAATGATGTTAAGGTAGTAAAATAAAAAGTAAAACTTTTAATAAACTTTTTAAAAGTACTTCTAACCCAAAAAAAAAAAAAAACAAAAAAAATCTAAATTTTGGTATTATAGAGATAATCACATGATTAAAAATAAAACACCATAATTAGAATTATTTACAATTTCAACCCAAATTAATTATAAAAGCAAAAGTACAACGTACAAAATTAACTCACTTTATTTAATTAATTTATAGTTTATTTAAATTAAAATCTCGAAAGCTAGTTTTAAAATATATATATATATATATATATATATGCCACGTCATCAGCCTTAAAAATGTGCCACGTCATAGAGTTCCCAAGTATAAAAGCTCCTCCAACGCCCCTCCCTCATTTCTCTGACAATTACAGAGAACAACCAATAGCTTTCTCTTTTTACACTTTTGCACACAAATTTCCATATTTGTCTATTATATATATATATATATATATTGCATTTTTGTGTGTGTATATATATATATTGAATTGATTTGAGGCTGTGGGGAATCGAAGAGGGTAAGAATTCGGTTCCGAAATTTCGGTGAAGTCGGAATCGGGGAGGAGAGACTGAGAGAGGGGAGATTTTTATATTGGGATAAATTTTTTTGGTTTGGTATTGATATTGGTGGATGCCATGGCGGCGGGGGCAACTGATCGAGCGCGGCCGGTGGTGGTGCCAACGGCGGCGGCTGTGACGGTGACGGACCCAATGGGGAAGGAAGCGGTGTTGGCGTGGTTCAGAGGGGAGTTCGCGGCGGCGAACGCGATTATTGATGCGCTGTGTGGACATCTGGCGCAGGTGAGTGACGATGGAGGATCGGAGTACGAATCAGTGTTCGCTGCGATTCATAGACGGCGGCTGAATTGGATTCCGGTCCTGCAAATGCAGAAGTATCATCCGATCGCTGACGTTGCCTTGGAGCTACGGAAAGTGACGGCGGAGAAAAAGAGAAAGAAGAAGAATCGGGATGAGGAAGAGGAGGAGCAGAAAGGAGGCGATGAGGCGGCGGTAGTGGTGGTCGAGGACGACGGCGACGGCGATGGCGACGGTGATGTCGAAATGGAGGAAAAGAAGAACGAGATTAAGAAAATGAAGGAAGAGGAGGAAAATGACGGAAAGATTTGTTCGGATGAGAAGGAAATCGTCGAAGAGACAACGATCGAGATTAACGAAACCGATGGCGGAAGAAATGAAGCTCTTCTGGATCCAATCGAAGAGGAGGATTCAATTCGAAGCGAAATAACTGATTCAGGTAAGTTTCATTCTCTTTTCAATTTTTGATTTCTACAGATCTCTAAATTCCAACACCAAATCACTACAGTTCATGATCTACGAAATTTCTCGAAAATCACTGAAACTCTGCATCCTTCCACGAAATTTCTTGAAAATCTTGTTTGAATTGATGAACAGTGAAACCAAATTTCTGAATCAACAACAACAAAAATTAGGCAAAATTCCTTTCCACATTCACAGGATTCAAACAGAAACCAAAAATTTCCAGAGTCAGATCCACGATTTCGTCTTTTACAGAACGCCTTTTTCTTTCGTTCTTTCCCCCCCCCCCCCCCCCCCCCCCAAAAAAAA